TAAGTGGACCGTCTCTCATATTCTAATAAAGCTGCACCATTTATCTCTATTCATCCCATTGTTACATGTAGTGACAACGCGACACGTTGTATATGACGTTACACATTACAAAGTGTGTCGACAGTTTGCGCGGAAGTATTACGGACAATAGTATCCTTGAAATATATCCTTGTGAAGTTAGTGCAATTAACTCCACAAAATAATTCATAATTATACATATATAAATATTTTATTAATTTATAGCATAACTTAAGAGTTTGCTTAAAAAGATCTTTGCATTTAAAAATGCGAATTAAATTTAAAAATATGTACGATTTACATAATTTTTTTACATTTCTATAAATTGTATGAAAAATTTGTCTTACTGATAATGTTATAAATATGTAATAGTATTCTCGAAATATATCATTGTGAAAAATTAATGCATTTAAATCCACAAATAATGCCTCATAATTATAAATACACAAAACACATTTTACTAATTCATAGTATAATTGAAGATATTCCATAAAAAGGTCTCTGCATTTAGAAATGCGAAAAACAAAAAAGATTATTAAAGAAGGAGAAGATGAGAAAAAAGGAGACTGAGATATAAATAAAATTCTTGGAACTTTTTTCCTTACATAATTCTTATCTTATAATTTCGTCTCTAGAAATTATATAAAGAAACGTGCGTTGAATATGTTTTTCTAATAAATGTTATAATAGTAACAGCAAATGTATCAGCTGCAATTCTGGCAGTGCGTTACGTGATTCGTCGCCTCATAAATATCGATAGGAAACGACTTCCTGGAACGTTGTAACGGATTTCGCGCTATTCCTAAAGCCGAAAAGCAGTATCGTTACTCGAGAGGAAATCTTTGAAAGTCGCACATATTGCGATGCGCCACTGGTGCCGTTTCCCTTTCTGTCTCGCACATGAATTATTTTACAACTTGTCAAACCATAAATATCTCCGTCGTCTTCGAGAAAACATCAAACTATATATATTCTAGAAATTTTTGTAAAAAAAAAAAAAAGAAAACGGTCTACACACATTTTCACATCATCAACATTTTTACGTGCGCATGAAATTATAAAATAATATACCGCAAATTACTCACGTGTAAATCTATCATATGAAAAACTTAAAAATTCTTACTTTCGAATTAATTTATATATAGATATATATATATATATATATATATATATATATATATATTATATTATATATATTATATATATTATATTAATATATATTAAATAAAAAAAATTATGTATTATATATATAATATATAATTTTAAAATTAAATATCTGAAATGATTGTGGAATATATATAATCACAGTAATGCTAAGAAACGAAGTAGTAATTAAAAGAGCGCGCAATAAATGCAATCTCGAGACTTCGGCGCGCGCAAAAAGTTGTATATCGTCAGATTCGTCCGTCTGATAATAAGTAAGATTTGCATTCATTTAGCCTGTTATTCGGGCGCAATAATCCAAGCCACCTACCGGCTACGCGGATATCTCGGCGCGTAAATATCTCGGAGGATGAAAATCGCAAAGGCATCCAATATTGTACTTTCTCGGCAAGAGAGATCGCAGTTTCTGCTCTACGACCGCAGACTGGGCTCTGGTGCAGCTGAATCCTCAAGTAACTGCGAAACTTTCTCAGCCTTGTAACCACCCGACGTACATCTTCTACCATTTTCCCTCGTACACATTTTCCCTCTTTCTTATCCTATTCTCTCTCATCCCTTTTCCACCCTTTCTCCTCTATCTCTCTCTCTCTCTCATCCTCTTCATCCGTCTTATTCACTCTTGATATAATCGTTCTACATCTTTGCAGCGAGAATATGCCAATATTCTGTCAAAGAAATCTAACGAGCTAAACTTCATAACATCGATTCTATTAAACGCGCGCGGACGCCTTCGAAAACAATATACCCGAACTTTGCAGAGAGTTGCTCGGCCTGCTCTCCTTCTCTCTGCTTCGGGTTGCAGAACTTTATGGAACATCATCGCACGCGGGGTAGTTTTAGCAGTCCAAATTGTTGCGGCGACATTCTTAAATTCTTTTGCAACATTTTCGGCGATATCGGATCAAAAAAAGCAGAAAATAAAAAAACGATCGCTCTGCAATTTTTACAAAACACGACACTTTTCAAATGACACTTCGTAACGTTCGTGTATTAAAGTATATTATAGTATATATAAATTGTATATATATATATATATATATATATATATTTATATTGAGATATCATGTGTGAGAAAAAGTGGTATTTAATTTTATTGAGCAGTATGGTGCGCTTAATTGTTCGGAAAACGTAGTTTCGATAATTTATTAACAAAAAGCGTTTAATTACTGAATATCTCGAGTTCACATATGGCATTTATTGCAAAACTATGCTTATTACGTATAGAAGATTATGAGCGGGCAATATTTAATTCAATGAGAGCCAATTCTGACATTGGGAAATTTTATTATTCAGCAATATTAAGCGCAGCGTGCTGAAAATAATTGCGTAATTATTTCGTATAACCTAGAGTGTCTCTCAATTTTAATATATACACTCCAGAATTGTATATCGTATCTCGTTGCCACGTTGATTCCGATTAGCATATTTATTTCTTTTTTTTACATACATATATCTGCCTTATAAATATAATACCACGAATTAATGTAAAATTTTTCTTTGCAAAGATATTTATTTCAGCAATACAATTAGGTAATTTGTAGGATAGTATTTTAATAGAATTCTTCAACCTTTTTTTAAATTACGCATATACATATATATCTTAATTAAATAGAAGCAAATGTTTTATTTTATTTTAACTTTCTATAGTTGATTTTTCCACATAATTTTTCTTATTATATCGATATTTTCTTATCATTTTATGCACATTACAAATTTTTTTATTTGCTGTTTTATTTTAATTGCTGCTTATTATGTTAAGCATATTTATATTATGCATATTTGGTATAATAAAACGTAAGCAATATTGCGTCTCGACGGCACTCGAGTCCATCTAATGATCTGTCTCACAATGGTATGCAAATTGTGCAGAAATAAAAGTCTCTTCCAGTCGCTTTATTATTCTATTGTGCATTGAGAGAAAAAAAAACACATAATACTTGTGGGTAAAAAGAGTGTTTTGTTGAAGATCGAGCGCAGAGCAAGACACATCTTTTAAATTTCCCTTGAAAGATAAATGGTTGTATTTTTTCGGGAGAGAAAACGTGAAATCACATTTTCTTTGTGCGTTTTTCTCTTCGAGTTGTTATATTTATTTCTTTGAAAATGCGGATTTAGAAAAAAAAATAGAAGAAAAAAATGCGTTGGAGGACAATAAAATAATAAATTTCTAACTCGCACACACACCTAAATTCTCACTTGTTTCGGATGTCATCGCATTTTTCTCGCGTGCGTTGTCCACAGTAACTTCCATTTTCGTTTATTTCCGCGCTCCACTCGACGAGATGCACATATACATATACGAACAAAAGCAATATATAGAACGGCGTTACGCACTGCGGCAGAAATTGCGAGAAATAACACAATCGATGGAAGTTCTGGTCTTTGTTAAATTTTAATAGGTAGAATAAATGTAGCAGTGTGGATTCAATCAATGTTTAGTTCTTTTTGTCTTATCTTACAAGAGGCCGGATTGTTAATATTGCACCATTGTTTTCACAGGATACATATATTATACACGTAATCACACAAAGTGATACAAGAAAATAAAGAAAACATTGAAGTTAAACAGAGAATGAAGTACTACAACTATACAAAAAAAAATGATTGAAAATATTATTTTTATTTTTAAAGATATTCTTTTCAAAATGATTGTATTGTTAGTTTGTTTATATTACTAACTGAAAATTTACGAGAAATAGGATATATGGCTTTATATGTTTTTTCCTATATATCGTCCAACTATTCATTCGATTTAAACATATATAGAATAGTCGGTAAAAAAATGTTATAGATCAATAATTCTAAAAATATTTGTCGAATTTAAAAGTTATTCATGAGAAAGTTTTATATATTTGAAAGGGCTTTCTAAATACATAAACAAAGCCACTCCTTCTTCAGAGGGACGAGAAGTAATATTGAATGGAATCCCCTAATAAAATATTACATATTTGAATTCTATGTAAAAAAAAAAAAAAAAAATATTTATCTGGAAACACTTGTTTGAAAAATGCTTTTATCAAAAGTTATAAGCATTTAACTTTTAAAGTAGAGTGCATTTAAATTATTGATACAACTGTTAAAAAAATGAAAAAAACTGCGCACAATACAGTAATACAAGATAAAAAAAGATTTCATGGAACAATTTTTTTTTTAATTTTTTATTTTTAATTTTTATCTTTGATTTTATCTGTAATTTTAATTTCCTAACATTTAATTTCAATTTTTTTTACAATTAAATATATTTTTTAATTTTCAAAGAAATAAATTTTATTTTATTTTTCAGGAAAATAAGTTTACTTAAATGTTTTTAAATTTTCCTAGAAATTAATTTGTTTTTATATTTTTTAGTAGAAACAGCTTTAATTCAATTAAAAAAAATTTTTTAAATAAATTAAAAATTTTATATAAATTTTTTTATTAAGTAAATTATATAATATTAAATATAAGAAAATAAACTTTAAAGTCTTCAATTTAATTACGGTTTTATCATTAGTTTAAAATGCACTCTAAAGTTTAAATGCTTATAACTTTTGATAGAAGCATTTTTCAATGAAGTGTTCCAGATTAAATTTACTTGTTTTTCTCCATAAAATCTAAATATGTAACATTTCATAGGAGATTCCTTTTAAAATTATAAAGTTATCTTTCGCCCCCCTCTGGAAGGGGTAAACTTTATGTTTACGTAGTCAGAAAGGCTCCTCCGAAAACTTTCTCATGAACAACTTTTTGACAAATATTTTTAGAATTATTAGAGTTATTCTAACATTTTACGTGAGCCATCCGATACTTATAGGGTATCCATGAAATATTCAGATTGAATATTTTGTATTCTTCAGCCGTTCGGATTTACAGGGACAAGGAAAGGATCGCAAACCCCTGCAGATACGTCATACGCCTTTTCAACAATTCTGACTGCATCGAAAAAACCTGAGGGGGATGCGAAATTCGGTGGGCGATGACAGGATCAGCATGGGGGTCGAGGTTTTTCCTCATACTGGCGATGATCACGATCGTTATCGCCAATTATCAACGTCAACGCGACAGACTTCATCTGCGCGAGCAGCTCGTTAACGGCCACAAAGCCATCAGGAATATCACTCAACTACAAGGTGCGTGTTACAATATGTATGCAATACAATATGTCGTTCGTTCGCGACGTAAATTACTTTTGCACGCGTACCGAAAAAGAACGATACAAAAAACAACATGGTCAGCGTGAATTGCTTTAGCATTTATTACCATTTTTTCTATAAATTTCCTTTTTCTATTTACATTTGATCATAAACAAAAAAGAAATTCACTCGATACGTATATCAACGCAAGTGAAAAATTAATATGCATTCTATAAATAATTGAGAGAGTAGAATCTATGTTCAAAATGACCTGTCAAACTAGGTTGCCAAAATATTTTATACTCTGTATTTAATTTCGTCCGCATTCATTTCTCATCGTGGCTAAGAATAATCTTCGATAAACGTGTAGAGATTTCGAAAATAAATAAATAAGAAGCGTGAATTGCTTTAGCATTTATTACCATTTTTTCTATAAATCTCCTTTGTCTATTTACATCTGATCATAAACAAGAAAGAAATTCACTCGATACGTATATCAACGCAAGTGAAAAATTAATATGCATTCTATAAATAATTGAGAGAGTAGAATCTATGTTCAAAATGACCTGTCAAACTAGGTTGCCAAAATATTTTATACTCTGTATATAATTTCGTTCGTATTCATTTCTCATCGTGGCTAAGAATAATCTTCGATAAACGTGTAGAGATTTCGAAAATAAAGAAATAAGAAGCGTAAATTGCTTTAGCATTTATTACCATTTTTTCTATAAATTTCCTTTGTCTATTTACATTTGATCATAAACAAGAAAAAATTCACTCGATACGTATATCAACGCAAGTGAAAAATTAATATGCATTCTATAAATAATTGAGAGAGTAGAATCTATGTTCAAAATGACCTGTCAAACTAGGTTGCCAAAATATTTTATACTCTGTATATAATTTCGTTCGTATTCATTTCTCATCGTGGCTAAGAATAATCTTCGATAAACGTGTAGAGATTTCGAAAATAAAGAAATAAGAAGCGTGAATTGCTTTAGCATTTATTACCATTTTTTCTATAAATTTCCTTTGTCTATTTACATTTGATCATAAACAAGAAAGAAATTCACTCGATACGTATATCAACGCAAGTGAAAAATTAATATGCATTCTATAAATAATTGAGAGAGTAGAATCTATGTTCAAAATGACCTGTCAAACTAGGTTGCCAAAATATTTTATACTCTGTATTTAATTTCGTCCGCATTCATTTCTCATCGTGGCTAAGAATAATCTTCGATAAACGTGTAGAGATTTCGAAAATAAAGAAATAAGAAGCGTAAATTGCTTTAGCATTTATTACCATTTTTTCTATAAATTTCCTTTGTCTATTTACATTTGATCATAAACAAGAAAGAAATTCACTCGATACGTATATCAACGCAAGTGAAAAATTAATATGCATTCTATAAATAATTGAGAGAGTAGAATCTATGTTCAAAATGACCTGTCAAACTATACTCTGTATTTAATTTCGTCCGCATTCATTTCTCATCGTGGCTAAGAATAATCTTCGATAAACGTGTAGAGATTTCGAAAATAAATAAATAAGAAATTGCGAGTTTAATTACTCGTTTTAAAGTCGATTGCTAAGCCGTGGAAAAGTCGTGACGTAAGGGTGATTCGTTTGGCGGAAAAGTTAGTCTTCGCTATGCACCTTGCTCGCGCCAAACTCTTGCACAGGCATGGCAAAAGTTTCGATACTATATAAAATTTTACGATGTGGTGCGCGATCTGCGAGGTGATTAGACTTTCTTTTACCCACAGTATTCCGGAAGCGTACGTCGAACTATCGCGATAAAGTTCTATTTAAGAACAGAAAAAGAGGGGGAAAAAGAGAGCGAATTAACAATAAAGTATATAAATACGAGGAAGGAAAATAAACAAGAATGACATTTCGGATCGTTTTGTTCATAGATAGACAAGATTCGATGCTATTTGCTGCGAGTCGAGTTTTACTGCGATTGGTAAATTACACATCGCGAATGGCTACATTGTCGATTTCCGATGGTCTACAATCACGTATCTGTATTAGCTTGACCGTTCGGATATTTACTTTCTGCAGGAACTTCTACGCCGGGCTACCTCTCCAAGAGGAAGAGAGAGCGAGAGAAAGCCGATAAGAAGCTGTACATTCGTCCTACATAGCTTTACAGTGATAGTTCGTGGATTTCAATGTTGAACCGATTAGATTTTAAAGAGTCTCTTTCTTGCTGCAGTCAACTCATTTCTATAGGAGTCCTCGTGCAACTGCACGATTTTAGACTTTCATATTGAAAAAATGTATATATGCTTGAGATAAGCGTATATAATGTCATTTATAAACTACTTCTTCGACCTTATTATCTCGAAATATTTCAAACAATTTCACGTAACGGAGAATATTCAAGCGTATAAAAAAATGTATTATGTATTTTTTGTAACTACATATTTCCTCAATTTTCTGCTTTATTAAATTTGAATTCTTTAAAAAGAAGATCTATTTATTATATCTGTAGAATGCGAACAAGTCGCACGCATAACTTCTGTTTTTTGATAGCGCTATTATGTTAACAAGTTAAGTTGTATAAAATAATACGGTTGGCTATTCTGAGAAATCCTCTTCATGAAACTTTAATCTCGCTGTCATTTTTTTTAAAGTCTCGTACTTGCAGCAATGCGGCGCGATTTTATCAAGAGCTTTGAAAGAATCATCACATCGCACGATCTCTGTATATTATAAAATTAATATAGCTCTATAAGAGTGCACACAGGAAACTCTTTGATATTGATTTTTATTTCAATAAGAGAATATCTTTTTACGCTATATATAGCTTCGCCATACATTTTACACGTCTTTCTCTTCTCGTATAATTCGATATTGACGCAATTGTCAAGAAAGTCGCGTCCCAAATAGTTCGGAGATCCCGATTGTGGAAAAATATTCAATGTAAAATTCGTTTGGCAACTTGTCATATTCTCTATGTCTAGTGTGTGTCTGGTTGTATGAATGTTAGTTGCATATGTCGCGAATTATTTGCAAAGTTTGTCATTCTCAATTCACATCATACATTTTACGACTTTGACATAACATAATCGTCGAAAATCGAAAATAAAATCTTAATGATCTTGATTAAATTTGTTTTAAAAACGTGTACAAGAAATTATTAACTTGTTAAATCTATAAATAAAATTATTAACTTAAAATTATTCTTTTTTCCTCTAGCTTAATTAATTTTTATAAAATTAAATAATTATAAATATAAATTTTAATCCGAATGTAAAAATATACATAAATTGAAATTAAAGGGGATAAAATAACTTTTTAACATAAATATACAATATCAACTAATTATGTCCTATCGATTTATATATCACGCAGATTTTGTATTAAATTTTATATGCGTTTAATTTTTCAGCGCGAATGAATGTGACAACAAATCTGATATTCGATTGAGTATTAAATTTAAAAATTTTTTGTAACACTCATATATCGATAAAAGTCTACCAGCGTAAGTGGAAATATATTGACAAATTTCTGATCGCATTGATATAGCAATTGCCTTAAAGTAACGCTGACGAGCAAACCCTTTGTAACGTTTGATATATCAAATGAAACAAAGCGGGACACATCAGGAACAGACAGTTATTACACGCCAAACTTCTAGTTTGTAATGAAGCATATACAGATACGGAACATGCGGAATGCGTAGCGGAAAGTGGATCTGACCATGCATATTTGACCTATTTGTCGCATCGCGAATTACAAATTAAATCTTATTACGTATACTTTTGCAGAAAATTCAATCAACTTGAAATGAGATATAGCAAATGTAACATTACATTATGAAAAATATTAATAATTCTTATAAGAATGCTAAAATTAAAGAGCACATCTATGTTAACAATTGTATTTGATAAAATTAAAATATTCTACCGACGTGATTCAAATCGATATGATAAGATGAATTAATATATGTAAAGTTAGTTACATTGAAAAATTATTTTACTTTTAATTTAAATATATGTATTTTTTAGTTTTAGATTAAAATATTAATGATAATTATTTAAGTCTATAAAAATTAATTAAATTAGAGAAAAAGAAGGAATTTGAAGTTTCTAATTTTTTTATATAAAGAAAATAATTAAATTATTTTTAAAAATGTTTAATGGAAGTACACAATTATAAATTCTTTAATCAAAAATATAAAAGTTTTTTTTCAATAATAAAAGTTTTATTAAGAAAAGTAAGAATTTAAAATAATATTGACGAATTGCGGTTAAAAAGTTTCATATTCTTGGAAGGATAAGGAATTTTCTAAATCATGTCCTATGGGATATAATTAAATTATGCGGGAAAATTAGCTTTTCCCTTCTTCTGTTCCCACAGTCCTTGCACGTCGAAACTCTTCCTCGGTCATGGAGGTAACAATCTAATTACAGCAAGTAATTTTAATGTCAAGTTATATGAGACAAATGAAATTGCATAAATACTTGGACGTACAGCGTCAAGAGAACGCGAAATAATGGTCACGTTGCTCGTTCAATATCCAGCATCGGTCAGAAGGATTACCGGAGGGATTACGTAAAACTTTCATCATTACGAATAAACGTGTCATCTTGCCAGAATATAACGCAGTGTTACCTGTCCACGAATATCGACGGAGAAAATTTGTCATTGCAAAAGAACAACTTGTCATTTTAATAGACTGTTGACCCGAATGTAATATTGGTTTTCGTTTGATTGATAGGTCATATCCATCCATCCATTACTTACGAGAGTAATTACAACTTTCGCGTCGTTCGTGTCCTTCCTGATAATTCCTCCGTAATTTAGGAGCAATGTTACTACGAAGTTTCTCACAACGTGGTACTTTATAATCCACATATGATTGAGCGCAATTTATAGACGAATTTCATAAAATAATTTTATTTTAAAAAATCGATGTATTTCAAGCAACACGACCAGTTCTAGTAAAATACGTAGTAAAATAAAAATGCACAATGTGCAACCA